ATTTTTTTTTTAAAAGTATGTTATAAAAAAAGGGGGTATAACTGGAAATTATTTTTTTATTTTTTAGGGTGGGGGAGAGGAGTAATATATAATATTACTACTACATTGCATAAACTTTTTCTTACCCTAATATAAAGTTAATGATAGTATTTGGATTATCACTGTTTGGAACTGTATCTGGATCTATCAAGTTCTTGCCAGTTTTTCTCCACCATTTAGCCATTGCAACATTGGCCATATCTTCTTCTGCCCCATCGTAAACAGGTTTCTCTGTGACCTACAACAATTTTAGGCTAAATAAACATTTATAAATGTAACTGCCTTACTTCTTAATAAAAATGTTACACATTTAGGTCATTGTTCGGAAAACTCAAGTCAGTTTATCATTCACCTGCAAATCAAGATAACAGCAACATGGCACTTCTACTATATGGGAATAATTTGAAGTTTTTACCCAAACTGGCTTAAATCAGATCCACTTATTTCTTTAATGCAGATGTGAGGATGACAGTATATGTTTGCCTTCTTTATAATTCAGATTTTCCGAGAAAGCTATTTTTAGCCATGCAATCAAACTGGTTTTGAATAGACATTAGAAGAAGTATCAAAATACCATTAACTGTGTAAGTTAAACAAATTGTTGATTTTTGTAAGAAAAAAATATGTTTGAAGAAATTTTTAACAAATTACATGTAACTTGAAATAATAGAGTCAATTTTTTAATGGGTAAGATTGTTTTGCCAATTTAGCTGTATTTAGAGACATTTTTAATTTATAATCTTGCATTGTTATATTTCTCATATATAAAATAGTTTAATATCTTGACTCTAAATATAATTAATTTGACTACACATAAACATTGAATGTCTCCATGTGGAAAACAAAAGCCATGTCAACATGGCCATCCCCCGCCGAATGTGTTTGCTCATTGGAAGAATGTATATGTAGTACAGCAGAATAATTCCATTTTAAGAGGTCTTTTGGTAATGAAAACTGATGGCTATAGTGATTACAGATTTGAAACCTATGTGAATACTGATGACTGAAAATAACAAAGGGCAATAACTGAAAAATAATGCAGGGTAGGTTATCATTCTTGTGTGCTGCATCCCTCCTCAGTAAAATCTATTCACCTATGAAGTTTCAAGTTGATACCTCAAATACTTTTTGAGAAAAAAATTGAATTGAAAAATTAAGTATGAAAAATAACAAAGGGCAATAACTCAAAAATTATAAAGGGTAGAGTTATCATTCTTGTGCACTGCACACCTCCTAAGTTAGATATATGCACCTATGAAGTTTCATAATGATATCTCAAAGGCCTTTTGAGTTATGCTCTGGACAAAAATTAATTTTGAAAAATAAAAAAAGGGCAACAACTAAACAATTATGCAGGGTAGAGTTACCATTCTTGTACACTGCACTCTTCCTCAATGAGATCCATCCACCTATGAAGTTTCAAGTTGATACCTCAAATACTTTTTGAGATAAGCTCCGGACAAAATAGTATGAAAAAGAACAAAGGGCAATAACTCAAAAATTGTACAGGGAAGAGTTATCATTCTTGTGCACAGCATTCCTCCTCAATAAAATCTATCCACCTATGACATTTCATGTTGACATCTCAAACACTTATGAGTTATGCTCCACTCGGGTGAAAAATTAGGTATGAAAAATAACAAAGGGCAATAACTCAAAAATTATGAAAGGTAGAGTTATCATTCTTGTGCACTGCACACCTCCTGAGTAAGATCTATGCACCTATGAAGTTTCATTTTGATATCTCAAAGGCTTTTTGAGTTATGCTCTGGACAAAAATTAATTTTGAAAAATAACAAAGGGCAATAACTCAAAAATTATGCAGGGTAGAGTTATCATTCTTGTGCACTGCACTCCTCCTCAATGAGATCCATCCACCTATGAAGTTTCAAGTTGATACCTCAAATACTTTTTGAGATAAGCTCTGCACAAAATAGCATGAAAAAGAACAAAGGGCAATAACTCAAAAAATTGTATAGGGAAGAGTTATCATTCTTGTGCACAACATTCCTCCTCAATAAGATCTATCCACCTATGACATTTCATGTTGATATGTCAAACACTTTTTGAGTTATGCTCCACTCAGGTGAAAAATTAAGTATGAAAAATAACAAAGGGCAATAACTCAAAAATTATGAAAGGTAGAGTTATCATTCTTGTGCACTGCACACCTCCTGAGTGAGATCTATGCACCTATGAAGTTTCATGTTGATATCTCATAGGCTTTTGGAGTTATGCTCTGGACAAAAATCAATTTTGAAAAATAACAAAGGGCAATAACTCAAAAATTATGCAGGGTAGAGTTATCATTCTTATGCACTAGACTCCTCCTCAATGAGGTCTATCCACCTATGAAGTTTCAAGTTGATTACTCAAATACTTTTAGAGATATGCTCCGGACAAAAATGTCGGACGAAAGGACAGACGGACGGACGGAGACTATTTCTATATCCCCCGCCGCCTTTTCGGCGGGGGATAACAAGAGCCGGTTGAACTGGGTGATGCTTCCTGAATAGGTTTTGGACACAGGAAGGTATACCTCTTGTAGTGTCAGAGTTATGTCACAGACAAAGTTCAAAGTGTAAAAACAGCCCAAATGTTGCACTCGACACATTGTCTAAATATGGTGATCATCTCTGTGAAATAGTTGTTAAATCAGACTTCAAGTAACAAAGTTATGTGCCAGACACGATTTTGCTGCAAGGCCACGCTGTGACCTTGACCTTCAAGATAGTGACCCAAATGTTGTGCGCGACACATTGTCTCAATATGGTGATCATTTCTGTGAAATAGTTATAAAATCCGACATCAAATAATGAAGTTATGGTCCGGACACAATTTTGTTGCAAGGTCATGCTGTGACCTTTACCTTCAAGGTAGTGACCCAAATGTTGCGCATGACACATTGTCACAATATGGTGATCATTTCTGTGAAATAGTTTTAAAATCCGACTTCAAATAACGAAGTTATGGGCCGGACACGATTTTGCTACAAGGTCATGCTGTGACCTTGACCTTCAAGGTAGCAACCCAAATATTGCCAGCGACACGTCATCTCAATTAAAATGGTGATCAAATCTGTGAAATAAATGTAAATCTGACTTCAAATAATGGTGTTAAGGGTCGGACACGATTTTGCTGGAAGGTCATGCTGTGACCTTGACCTTCAGCTTCAAGGTAGCGACCCAAATGTTGCTCGCAACACGCCGTCTCAATATGGTGATCATTTCTGTGAAATAGTTTTAAAATCCGACTTCAAATATCAAAGTTATGGGCCGGACACGATTTTGCTGCAAGGTCATGCTGTGACTTTGACCTTTAAGGTAGCAACCCAAATGTTGTGCGCGACATGTCGTCTCAATATGGTGATCATTTCTGTGAAATAGTTTAAAAATCCGACTTCAAAAAATAAAGTTATGGACCGGACATGATTTTGCTGCAAGGTCATGCTGTGACCTTGACCTTCAAGGTAGTGACCCAAATATTGCGTGCAACACCTGGTTGTAATATGGTGATCATTTCTGTGAAATAGTTTTAAAATCCGACTTCAAATAACAAAGTTATGGGCTGGACACAAATTCGGGACGTACGTACGGACATTCTTACAGGACAGTAATTATGTGGCTACTCTATTGTTCTCTCTAATGTTCTTTTTAGCCACACAAAAGAAAATAGTCACATAAAAGCATTAAGGAATGAATGACATCAAAGAGAAAGAACAGTTAACTATTGTCCCTCTAGCCACATACATTGTGAGTGCGGACTGACGGACGGACGGACAACCCAACGACTATATGCTCCCCCGAAATTTTTCGGGGAGCATAAAAAGTTCAGCAAACTAATAACTTATAGTTAAATGATAGTGTGTGGAAAATGCCAGCTGGTGCCTGTAACAGTACAAAAAGTTTTCCCTGTCATACACCTTCAACAAAATGCTGCAATGTCAACTTATGACCAATTGATAATGAAAATTAATACATACCTTTTTCACTTTTCCTACATTTCTTAAGAAAAAGCTGGACACAGATGCTGGATTATGAACCCTGCTTGTTGGAGATGTGTACATGTCTTCATAATTGTCAGTGACTGGCCATTCATTAATTGCTTCAATAATTTCTTCATCTGTAACTGCAGTAGTTTTGTCCATCCCGGGTTCCCTAATGAAATCTGGATGTTAGCCCTAAGCATGCAGGTAGGTAATGAATCTACCCATGCAACAATGCAGACCAAGATCAGAGGCACATCTGTACTGTTTGATCGACATAGTCTGCATAGTTGCTTCTCAGTCAATACTTATTTCTAATTGTCCTTAAAAATGAATGGTTTTGTCCAGACTGAAAGATGGACAAGTCAATGAATTAAAGATATTTAGCCAGGTATTAGGTTTGCACATTAATCTGGAGCAGTAAAAAATATCTATTGCTGCCATTATGATCATTTTATATTATACCTTCCAGGACAGGCTTTGCAAAATGTGCAAGACATAGCAGACATCGCTCATTCTCAATAAACCACAGCATTTGATGTTCCACTGGGTAGCTCCTATACGAAAATTTCTCTTGAGGTCAAAATGTCATTAGAAAGGTGGCTGCCACTTTGTCTTATAGGAACTCTCTCAGTTTTACATTTCTATCAGTTATTTTTCTTTTACAAGTACCATTAATGCCCTAAAATGTAACATACGTTACTGTCACCACCTAGAATTTTCAACTTTGAAATTTTGTTTCAGAAAAATTAGTTGCAGAATAAACGAAACATGTGTTAAACTGTTAAAAGTCATTGCTGCGTGTATATGCACTTTGATTAATGGTAAAAAATATGTTTGACTGTTAAAATCTCATTGATATAATGGATGATCGAATGTCGCCAAATGCATATAAATAAATAGTGACAAACCTAAAACAATTAGAAGTGAAACAGAAATTACATAACTGAATCGATGCATGCTTAATAATACAGCATATACGTAATTATAAGTAAAAATAAGCTTGCAGCCTCTCAAATATCCTTTATATTTTCGGAATTTTTCATTTTTTATTCAAATCTTTTCGACAGCATTTTAAAAAGAAACATACGTTACCATTGTTTTAGAGCTAATCCATTCAAAGAAGACTCCAAACAAGAAAGAAAATTAACATGTGTGTAACTCTGATATATAAACCACAAATTATGGCGGGTTATACGCTCTTGCATTATTTTTCAACCCACTTTCAATATAAAAATGAAACATACGTTACAGAAACATACGTTACCAACTTTTTAAAGTAATTTTATCAAAAGGGAAATTGAAGTCAGAAAGCACGTATAACAGCAACACTTACTTTAATTTGACATTAGTACCTTAATTTTGTTAACTTTGGTCCAGTTTTAACTTGTTTAAGTAACCACAGTGAAACAAATGTTACTTTTATCAAACAGACTTTATATTGTTTAAACATGCACATATAAAACATTTTTATGACAATAGAATGATGTAGTAGATTGTACATTTGATTCCTAAATAAAACAGTTGATTTTACATGTAAGTTTCAATTCCGTGATAAAGTTCATAAATAAGCCAGTGTGAAACATACGTTACTCCATCTCACAATTCAACAATTTTTTGAAAATTAAAGACAAAATTGGGATTAGCATGCCTGTTAGTAACGGTTACCTTGTATTAGATGTAAGAAGATACACTAGAACTCCGCGAGTCGGATGTGCCGCCTTGTGAACAATATAGTTTAGGAGAAATGGCCAGGACAAGAAAATTAACAAAGGGCAATAACTCAAAAAATAAGAAGTGCAGAGCAGCAGTTTCTTTGCACTGCACTTCTTATCAATAAGAAATATAATCCTATGAAGTTTCAAGTCCATAGCTTTAATAATTTATGAGAAATGGCCTGGACAAAAATAAAGTATGAAAATTAATAAAGGTAACAAATAAAAAATAAGAAATGCAGAGTACCGGTTCTTGTACACTGCACTTTTTCTTAATGAGAGCTATCATCCTATGAAGTTTCATGTCCATTATAAGCTTTTATACTTTAGGAGAAATGACCTGGACAAAAATGTCAGAAGTATGAAAATTAACAAAGGGCAATAACTCAAAAAAAAAGAAATGCAGAGTACAGGTTCTTAAGCACTGCACTTCTTTTTAATGAAATCTATCATCCTATGAAGTTTCAAGTCCATAGTTTTATACTTTCGGAGAAATAGCCCGGACAAAAATAAAGTATGAAAATTAACAAAGGGCAATAACTCAAAAAATAAGAAATGCAGAGTACGGGTTCTTGTGCAATGCACTTCTTCTTAATGAGATCTATCATCCTATGAAGTTTCAAGTCCATAGCTTTTATAGTTGAAGAGAAAGGGCCCGGACAAAATTAAAGTATGAAAATTAACAAAGGGCAATAACTCAAAAATTAAGAAGTGCAGAGTACTGGTTCTTGTGCACTGCACTTCGGGTTATTGAAAGAAGCATGCATACCAAGTTTAAAGTCAATCAGACTTATAGTGACTGAGTTATGCTCCGGACAAAATTAAGGGGACGCCGACAACGACATCGCCGACAAAAGTAACCCCTATATGTCGCCTTTTTAAGGCGACACAAAAAGAGTTTTTGCAAGGGAAAGATATGTTAATAATATTTTGATGTACCAGCAGAAATGTTAAAAATATATTACAAGATATTGAAGTTCTCAGCATTTGCAAAGAGCTTACTGGCCGTATTTCATTCTATATAATGAGTATATATAATAATTGTAAAATAATATCCATAAATACAATTTTAACCTAATTATAATGCCATTTTTTAATCTTGATATCTATTTGCAGTGGTAAAGCTGTCACAATTAGGGTATGGATGTACATTTCAATTTGAATAACAGAAAAAGCATGTTCTCGAGAAATTTTTAGGATCTTAAGGTCTATATGACACCATTCTAGTGACAGCTTACTGAAAAGTTATCAAAGATAATGTTTTTCCTTGTTTAAGTGACTGTTACTTTACTGATGTATTACCTTCCAATTAAGAATTGTATGGTAAAATATGTACATATTAAAATTATAGCTTTTGAAGTGCAGTATATATTATGACTTCAAGATATTGAAACAGTTGTCCAACTTAATATCCATTTCAGCAGACTGACAAAAATCTGAGTCTGTAAATCAATTATTTTTAGAAAATTATTGCGATTTGTAACTGGCTAAATAAAGGATTAGTGGAAAACACAAATTTCACATATTTTGAACTAAAATGCTATTATTTTCTTTTTTATCGCCATAATTGACATTGCTGCTGATAAATGTAGTCAAGGTGAGTGCAAGATGTGCTTACAGTTTGGTTACATGACAATTAAGGTCAAAAATAAAAAAATTCTAGGGATGATTGAAAAGTGGTTGTGATTGAAAACTGGCAGTATGTTATGGAATGCCGGTAGGGACATGCCAATTTGCTTATTTGCCAATTGCTGAATTGCTTATTTGCTAATTGCTGTTTTGCTTATTTGCCAATATCTGATAGGCTTAATGACAAATCAGAGCTCCAGATAGCGTGCGTATAAGCGTAAAATACGCATAGAAAATCTAAAATACGCATCACTTTCAAAATTCGTGCGTCACAGTTACGCACAACAAAATGAAAATACGCTCGTATGTCAAAATTTATGCGTAAAAGAATAGAAGTGTAAACATTTGATATGTAGAAAGAAAATGTTTTTAGCATAAAATACAATATATTTCCATTTAATTGCATTGAAAACTAAAAATTCTGTTGTCAACAACGCATGTTAAAAACGAAAGTAGCAGGAAATACAGAAGGGAGGTAACTCCCGTAGATCTATCAACCTGTGAAATTATTGATGAAATTTGTGCCAGATAATCATCGTAGGAGTTAACACAGTATTAAGTTAGTTTAGGCATCTATTGACATACTCAATATAACCAAAAATATATTTTAATTTCTTTAACTTTAGTTGTTGGAACAAAATAACATGTTATTCACCTGCAGTTTTGTACTCAATATTTTCGTACCCAGTCTACAGTTACGGACAATTTTCTCTCAGACAAATAATTTTTTTTAAGGAAAGATAAAAAAAATCTTGTTTATGTTTGTAATTGTAAAGGTTTTTCTAAAAAAAGAAAATAAACAAACAAACAAACACAACAATAAGTTTAATTTGTTTATAAAAAATGCAAAATGCTTTTTTGACAGATTTTTACCCCTTAAGTTTTTCAGAATTTGCATTTTACCCCTCACTCTAAATTTTGAGGGGTAAAAACCCCTTGGCCAAAAAAATTATCTGGAGCTCTGCAAATATGCTTATTTGCAAATATGCTTATTTGCCAATTGCTGAATTGCTAATTTGCTTATTTTTTAGCCGCTGGTTTACGTATTTGCTTTTTTGCCGATTGCTAATTTGCTTTTTGCAAAAGAAATAGTTTACACTGTGCCGGAAGTATATGGAAAATCTGACTACAGACAACCAGTTGAGTCAGATCTGTTAACTTTTACCAACAGTATTCTTGTACATTTAGTGTTTTTCCAAGAATACTGTTGGTCAATGAATTTAGTTGCAGTGATGCCTAAGCAGATTAATGTCTACAACTGATGGCTGACATGTCCTTGAGAACACAGACGCTTGGGGGTCAGATCCTGTACCCCAACGTGATACGTGCCCCTGTAAACACTCTATTAAAAATATTTTAATATTTAAACACGAATTTGACATCGTTAAAAATGATTTTCAAAACAATCTTTACATATACCGGTATGAAAAAATACCATTATACCACCAAGTCTCAATAAAGTACTTAATGGTTTATCGTTGTAACAGATGTCCAATTAGTATTTAAAATAAATATTAAATAGTTTTGATATAGTGTTTACAGAGGCGTATCACGTTGGGGCAGGATCTTACCCCCAGCGTCTGTGCTTGAGAATGGTTTATACGTATTGTGTTGCAGCTATAGATCTGTTTTGTGCAGCTTAAGTCAGAGATTGATGGCATAATAAACACTTGATTGGTCATATATAATTGGAAATTATTGGATAAAGATTGAAAATAAAAGAACTTAAAAACAAAACTATTTCTTATTTTATGGCATATAAAATGTAGTTATTCTCAGGAGATTTGTCACGGAGGGCTTCATTTTAGTGGTAGGAACACATAGTATCACGAATGATACACTTAGTGCATGCTAAACACGGGTGTTTGTCTTTGCACTTAAGCAATAGGCTTCGTTTTTAGCTCTGTAAGATTTTGAGATCACTTATGTCTGTGTGTCCATCAACATTTTGCTTTTGTTCAATGTTTTTGAAATTTGGTCACACTTTTCCATTTCTTCATGTTGAACATTTTACATGCTATCAGGTGACCATGACCATGATCATGACCTAGGGTATAATGGAATATTGAATATTGTGTATGTATGCTACCTAATGCTTATGTGAAGTTACAGTTAGATATAAGCAATAGTAGCAGAGATATGACAGAAAAACAAAGGCTTCCTAGTACAATTCATTGGTGACCTTGACATTCAGTATATAACGGGGACAGCTTCTTCATGTATGCATGCTTGTAATTATGCAAAGTTTATGCAAAGTTGCAGTAAGCATAAATCAGCAAAAGTAACAGAGATATTGACAGAAAAACAAGTTACCAAGAAAACCAATGCCTTTGGTGGGTAGAATAGCATCCCTATTCTCTGAATAGTGGAGCTAAAACTGAAACTCAAGATAATTAAAAAACAACTACTTTTTGAAACTGAATTTATATTTTTCGAAATTGAATAAAAAGTATCCATCTGGTCTGTCTACCTATATTCAAGGTAATGATGGATTGATCATAATTTACACAAGTTATAATTAACAAAAACTTTATCACATAATAACATGATATAGGTTCATGAGCTTGAAATAAAGTCTACAAAGACTTGTTATGTCATATCAAACAAGAACTTCGCGAGTCGGACGTGTCGCCTGACAATAGCATACAAATTTATGTATATAAGCAAATAAGCAATTGGCAAATAAGCAAATTGGCAAATCAGCAATTAGCAAATAAGCAAATTGGCAAATCAGCAATTAGCAAATAACCAAAATGGCAAATCAGCAATTAGCAAATAAGCAATTCATTTGTTGGCAAATAAGCAAAGTGGCATGTCCCTACCGGCATTCCATAGTATGTGGATAATTATTTCACATAAAACAAATATCCTTTTACGCGCCATAAGCGTTTATTAGACACAGATGAAATATATCATATATATCCATTATTAGTTTATTACCAGCCTGTCATGAATGTTTGACACGAACAAGAAGTTCGTTAATTTAAATAAGTACCTCGCAATTATATTAATACAATAAAATCTCTTCAGTAAACATCTTTATTGTCAATGTAAAATAACTTACATGTTTGCTAAATAAATTCCTCTCAGTAGCTGGACGATTGTAAAACCGGATATCTTCGCGGTATGCCTAAAATACGAAAGTGAGATTTTTGACGAAAGTGAGCGAAAGTGAGCGAAAGTGACTTTTAAAATGGTAATTATTACATTTTAATAGACTTTTAAAACAAACTTGCAGTTTGTAGACGTATATTATTAGAAAATGATTATATTTATTAACAGAAGTAATCATAATGATGATTTAATCGCTACTAATTTGCATAATTTCTATACACAAGTTCTTATATCTTCCTTTCGCTCACATTGAAAAATACGAAAGTGACTTATAAAATATTAAAAAATTCTGTTTTAATTGAAATTTTTACTAAAATTACAATTTGTAGATGTATATTATCAGAACTTGATGATACCTATTTTTTAAAATAATCATTATGATGATTTAATCGTTATTTATTTGCATTATTTTTATACACAAGTTCAGATATCTTCCTTCGCTCAGATTGAAAAAATACGAAAGTGACTTCAATATATCAAATATAGCGATTAATTTAAATCTATATTAATATAACAGATTGTAGACGTATAGTTTTGGAATTTGATAATATCTATTTTTAAAAATCATCATTATGATGATTTAATCGCCATTTATTTGCATAATTTCTATACACAAGTTCAGAAATCTTCCTTTCGCTCACATTGAAAAATACTAAAGTGACATATAAAATATTAAATATACTGGTTAAGTTGATTTTTTTACTAAAATTGCTCTAAGTAGACGTATATTATCAGAAATTGATAATATTCATTTTCAAAAATGATCATTATATATGATGATTTAATCGCTATTTATTTGCATAATTTCTATACACAACTATATATATACATAGATCTTCCTTTCGCTCACATCGAAAAATACGAAAGTGACTTATAAAACATTCAATATACCGTTTATTTTGAATTTATATAAATATAACAGTTTGTAGACGCATAGTTTCAGAAATGAATAATAAAATACTTAAAAATCATTATGAGGTTTTAATATTCATGCATTTTCATTATTTCTATATAGCAATTTCAGAGATCTTACTTTCGCTCACTTTCGTATTTTCAATGTTATGGAGAGGAAGCGAAAGTGATCTTAAAAATATCAAATATAGCGTTTAAATTGCATTTAATATTAATAATGTAGTTTGTAGACGTATATTATCAAAACTAGTATCTTTAATCAATATGATTTGATCATCATTTATTAGCATAATATTTATACACAAGCTCAGACATTGATCTTCCTTTCACTTACTGTGAGCCTGACGAAAGTGACTTACAGAATATCAAATATAGCGTTGAAATAGAATTTCATGATAATATTGCAGTTTGTAGACGTATGTTATAAGCTATAGTAACTATCATTTTTATAAAACTTAATATGTTAAGATGAAAAATGAAATTTATTATGTAAACTATAATTGGTAAAAACATGAATTATACAATTTATGCGTTAGGGCCCCGATTTACAGTTCTCTATTTCTTACATCGTCTTTTTCGGGCAGTTTTTTAATTTTTGATTAACGATGGTGTTACCTAACATTTAATATTCTGTTTTAATTACGCTGTTTCGGGTAAAATTCAACCAGGTAGCATTATAACGGATAATTTATAATTGGCGAAAGATATAAATAGATATGCGCGCGCTCAATATGGGAAAGTTCTCACACTGAGTATATATGTATTCAAGTATTGCAGAAGTATCTTTATGGATTATTTTGGCGAGAAAAAGGGTAAGTCTGTAAAACTATTATCATAAACATGTTGGATGCTATATTATTAAAATTTTGCCAAGACTATACGGATAAATTTACAAAGATTCAACAGTTTGGGCACATTTGTTGAATTTATTAAGCTTTCAAAACTGTTTTCTTTATCAACTAAGTGAACGTTATTAAGATACATGCTGCGTTGATTGCTAAAATAGTTACAGTTAAAGATGTAATGTCTTTCTGTGCCTGAATATGTTTACATGCAAACAAGTGTTGTCATATCATTTTCGCATCCACTTTAATTGATAGTACACACGACGGTGACCGCATGGCGCTTTAATCCCACTAAAGTATTATTATAATCCAATCATAGGTATGTAACTGATGACACTTGCCCGGTTGTTTATTGAGTGGACAATTGGATTAACCTTTCTTCTGCACCACCATAGATATCTTGTACTGATTAAAGTGGCAGGTATTATGCTCATCCAGGTGTAGATGAGCAATGTACATGTTAATTTGAAAAAATAATTTGGAATTTCCCATCATTGTTAAAATAATATTTCACTATGACAAAATGGAAATAAGTAATCCACGGAATTTTCTATAAATATCGTACTATATTTATCGGTAAAGTTCAATAGGATTTTTTTTTTAAATATTTTGTGCAAGTCATTTTCATCATCAGTTATAGGTCAATCGCCATGAAAACATGAATAATAATGAAAATGACTCATTTATTTTTTTTTATTATAAAAAACATTAATATCGTGAATATTAACATTGATTTTCGTCCGATTAAGTCACTTTCGTATTGTTCAATGTGGGCAAGAGTAAGATATCAGAACAGGTATACAGCAATTATGAAAATACATGGATATTAAATTATCATAATATTTTTTTTTTAATATATTTTAATCATTTCTGAAAACATGCGTCTTTCAGCGCTATATTTGACATTTTTGAAGTCACTTTCGTATTTTTCAATGTGAGGGAAAGGAAGATCTTTTAACTTGTGTAATGCAAATAAAGGGCGGTTAAATCATCATAATGATTATTTTTAAAAATAAATATAATTGACTTCTGATATTGTACGTCTACAAATTAATTGCAATTTTAGTAATACATTCAATTTAAACAGTATATTTGATATTTTGTAAGCCACTTTCGTATTTTTCAATGCGAGCGAAGAGGAAGATCTCGATCTGTATATAACTTGTGTATAGAGATTATGCAAAATAAATGGCGATTTAATCATCATAATGATTATCTTTGAAAGTAAATATTATCATTTTCTGATATTATACGTCCACTTTGTGCAATAATAGTAAAAATAATTTCAATTCAAACGGTATATTTTATATTTTATAAGTCACTTTCGTATTTTTCAATGTAAGCGAAAGGAAGATATAAGAATTTGTGTATATAAATTATGCAAATAAAAACCGAATAAATCATCATTATGATTATTTTTTATAATAAATATAAGTAATTTCTAATAATATACGTCTACAAACTGCAATTTTATTGTAAAAGTCTATCAAAACGTTACAATTAATATTTTAAAAGTCACTTTCGCTCACTTTCGCTCACTTTCGTCAAAAATCTCACTTTCGTATTTTAGGCAAACCCATATCTTCGGGCTTTTTCCATTATCAATCTAAAACGAAAGTGAAAGTAGGAAACCCCAACGAAAAAACCAAATTGTCAAAAATGGAGGAGCAACAATATGGAGCATACAAAGATATGCTTATTTCTATCGCAGATATAGTTGATCAGGATAGTTCTGTACTGGAAACAATGAAATTTAAATGTGATAGCTTCATCAAAGGACGGGAGCGGGACCAGATAAAGTCAGCCATTCAGTTGTGGACAGCATTAGAAAAAAGAGAATATCTTGGAATTTCAGACACAAAGTTTCTGAAAGACCTATTAAAATCATGTATGAAAGGACATGTTGAGGCTTTGACTATTTTAGAAAAATATGAACGATTGATAGGTGTTATACCAACTAATTTAAACCAACAACAAAGTACAGCACCTGTGCATTTTGCTGGAAATCCACAAATAATTTACATTCAGCAAGACAGTCATACAGGTTTCAACATTTT